TACATTTCCATTTTTGGAGTTAGAGAAGGATCTACAAGGCCAATAAAAAGTTGTGGGACTAGGTGTCTTGCACTATAATTACCCGGCGAGATCTGCTCCGCGTTTTGATCCAATCAAAATATTATAAACTAAAATAAAAATATCAATCAATATAAGTAAAAAATAGTACCTCTGGTTACTTATTAACACGTTTTCTTAGGAGACCCAAACAAAACCAAACAACAACACTCATGTTTTGTCACCTTGGACTCTCAAAATAAATTGATTTTCGCGTCTGCCCCCCAAAAAAAAATACATAAATAATTAATGTGCACGTGTTTCTCGATCAAAATAAAATTTATTCTTTTTTCAATAATTCATCTGTTTCTTTACTTTCCTCAAGAATTTCATTTCCACAAACTATTCAGCAACAACAAAGGCAACGTAATTCAGCAACAAATATAAATAATATAAATAACTTTTTAATAAGTGACAACTTAAATACTGCTTCTGAATTTGGTACTTCCTACATACTAACTGCTGCTACTCCTACTGTGCCAATGATTGGTACACCTTCCACTAATGTCTTTTTCAAATAAAAGAAAAAAAGTATTCGTTATTGATGTTGCTGGGTAAGTGTTTATCAAAAGAATGGTGGTGGTTATCGCCTGCCACTTGTCGTCACTCTAGTTTTAATAAAAAAAATATCATTTATATTAATAACAGGAAAAGAAGAAAAGATGATGATAAACCAATTCAAGTAATGATTAATTATATCTATAGATTGTGTATTACTATTGTTATGATAAATTAATAAAATTTAATTTTACGTAATGTTTATTGAATAGAATAAATCAATTGAAGATGATGATATTAAAAATGATATATTATTGATTTAACATTACCAGGCCTAGAAATAATATTACAAATTTAACAAAATCATCATCCCTTGAAATTTACCGAACAAAATTCATCAAAATTGGATATACCTCAGGATGCATTACATGTAGACCCATCAACTGCCATTTGTTTAGATTTGCTTGGCCAAGATCAAATTTACAACAACAACAAACAACATGGGGTCCAATTGAGGCACTCTCATGTTTAATCGAATGTGTTGCTAATCCTAAACTCATAGATGAACAATGGGTATTAAATCAATATAAATGGATAGTATGGAAAATAGTCAGTATGGTTAGAAATTATCCTGATTTATTTCGTGACTGGTTATCATCTGAAAAAGTACTTGATCAATTAAAATACAGATATGAAAGAGAAATTAATTGTGGTCATAAATCTGTTATTAAATCAATTATAAAAGACGATGCTTCACCATCATGGCCAATGGTTCTTTGTGTATCAAATATAATTGATGATGTTACCCAATCAATATCTTCATATTTGCCATTATCATCTTCCTCTCATATGTCAAAACTCGAATTAACTGATGGCTGGTACAAGATTCATGCATGTATTGATCCACCATTACAACGAGCTATAATGAAGTATAAAATAAAAATAGGTTACAAACTTGAAATTTGTGGTGCATGTATTTGTGGAAAACCTAATAAAAAAACACCAATATCAACAACATTTGATGAGACAAGTTCCATATATTGAAATTATCAGGAAATTCAACAAAATTAGCTCATTGGGATTCCAAGATTGGAATTGGAAAATTTAGGACATTTGCATCATTAAAGAGTCTTACAACAGATGGTGGACCTGTTTTTGCAATTGGTGTTATAATAATGCGAAAATATCCATTTATGTGCTGTGAAACAAATGAAGGTGAGGTATATATCACACATAATGAAAAAGGTGAAGAACTGGCTCAAGGAAATTCTAAATATATTCATTCTGTTGTTCCATTCTTTAAAGTACATGTATGTGACTATCATGGTGAACCTAAATCTGTTAAAAAAAATTAAGAGAGAAGCATTGATCACTATATGGAAACCTAGTAGTTCTTTATATAATTCTATTCATGAGGGTCAAGGAAATCAGATATATTCATTATTGGCAGACAGTACATATTTATCATCATCAGAATCTTTTATTTCATTATATACATCTGGAAATTTTTCCTGATGTGGATTTATGTAATTATTAAACTATTTACATAAGTTTATGGTGGGCCCTTTAATATTATGCAAATAAGCATACAAAAATTATGCAATTATTACATTGAGTGTAAATATTACATAATTTTTTATGCAAATATTATTTTACATATTAAAATTTATGGACATAATATTACAGTGGGAAAATTTCCTGATATAGTCCAGAAGCAATTACATACTGTGATGAACTGGATAAAATTGATTGTTTATATAGACCACAAGCTAACATAGCTATTAAAAGTAATTATCATTTGATTTTGGGTGAATATGCTTGTCATAAAAAGAGTATGATTTGGCACTTATTATATTAGGAGTTGATGAAGTTAAAAAAGACATAATATCTGGCATAACTGTGGAAGTCCAAATTGCTATAGGTATAAATGAAAGTGACAACCTGTACTTATTGAAATCAACAAATCACTTTTTGTTAATATAAATGATTTATCAAGACCCAGAAACATAATCATAATAACAAATTTGAAACATGTTGATTATGATTTACTGGGTAAATTTCATATATTAATAAGAATTCTCCTCATAAAAGCTATTTGGAACAAGCAAAAGCAAGGCTTGAATCCTAGGTAAAAATTAATTAACCAATTATTTGCACTTATGAATCTAATGTGAAAAAATTGTGAATTATTTTTACCCTATTCTTTTACTTATTACAATATTTAATATTGTTACTGGAATTAGATTCTGACGGGGATATTTTGGACGAATCTCATAATTCCGGGTCAAATTAATTCTATTTCCATTTTTATTTATTTATTTTTAATTTCATTTATTTATTTTTATATTTATTTTTTATTTTTTTTACTTGTATAATTATTTTATTATCAGTCACAGGACATTTCCCACCGATCTATAGGAGGTTGCAAAACATAGTAAAATTTGGATGATCTGCACCATAATAAAATTCGAATTTACATAGTAAAATTTTATAATTGAATGTCTTCACACCCTCGTTTGATACCCTAGCTGTGTAGCAACCACCACCAAATTTGAGATGTAATTTCTTTATCATATATATCTACTTTATGAAAAATCTTAAGGC